GGGCAAGGGGGCAAGGGGGCAAGGGGGCCGAGGAGCGAGGAGCTGCGTGTAACCTTGAAATTGGACCGAGCTTATTATTCGAGCGAATGAAAATGTTGGCAACGGACGCGGAAAGAAAGGCCGTCGCGTCGGAACGAGGGCGAGGGGCGAGCCCGGCCGAAATAAAGAGGACCGCGACTTAAGGTGGTACATCTATAAAGCTCGAAATACGCGGCAGGAGTCTGTGTCCCCGCAACAATGTATTTAATTAACGTAACGGGCGTCAGGGGAGCGGCGGGACTCGAGCGTAGCGATTGCACCCACAAACCACCCTCTATCCGTGCTAGGCGCCGCGTGACCCCACTAAACTCCAGCCCGGCCCCGCCGGCTCCAACAGCCACCGCCGCCGCTGCCGCCACCCCTCTTTTCTCGCCAATCCGCAGGCTTGTTCAATGGCCGCCAAGTCGAGAGCTTAAATTAAAGATATAAGCGCGTCCCGGTGGCGCGCGCCGCCTCCGCGCCGCGCCGAGCGTTCCGCGCAGAGAGGCGGTAAACGAATTAAAAAGTAAACGGCCAGCCGTAAAAGTTAATGGCTGTTCGGATGAAAATTAAAACACTCGGGGAATTAAGATAACGGAGAGAAAGGAAGCCAGACAATCTGGAGAGATTGACTGTGCGCTCCGAGCGGCGGCGGCAGCGGCTGCTGCCCCCGACGCCTCCGCGGCAAACGTCGATTTCTCTTCGAACCGTCCAACTCCGCGAGCCCCGCTGCAACCCTTCCGCCGATTTCGTTTCAACCCCGTGGACCGGCGAACGAGCTCGGAAATCCTTTCGGGAGATTCGGGGCACGCTGAAGTCTCGCTCCGCGCCTCGGAGATTCGATGATCTTTGCGGAGTTCCTTTTTAAAATATCCTTTATTTATTTATCAACTCCTCTATACAACGTTCCACGACAATGATTTTTATTTCAACCGGACTTTGCACCGAATCCGATCACAATTTATGCCGAACTTGTTAAGGGTTGCCTGCAGGGTGTATCGAAAAGATCTTCCGCGTGGCAAGTCGGAAAATACCGCAAAAAATTCTGGGAAGTAGAGCCGACGCGCGATTACGATTGGCATTTTATTCCGTTCGAATATCCGCAACAATGGCGGAGAGAGACAGAGAGAGAGAGAGAAGCTCGGAGAACTAAGGGTGGCGCGTTGGGACGCGTATAATGTTTACCCCGGCGATTCGGAAGGACGCTGTGGAGCCGATTACTGACGGTAGGATTCTTGTTTCAGGTGTGGTTCCAAAATAGGAGGACAAAATGGCGGAAAAAGCACGCGGCCGAAATGGCGACGGCGAAAAGGCGGCAAGAAGAGGTGGAGGGTGTGGTGGGCGAGGGTGAGGACGGGTGCAGCGACACGGAGGGCGACGGGAACAGCGAGACCGCCGCGAAAAGGCTGAGAAGGGAGCTCGAGCAACAGTACAGGCATTAAACGATGTAAAAAAGAGACGCGACGATATTGAAAATAGGAGAGACGAGAGTGAGAAAGAGAGAGACGCGCGCGCGCGCGCTAGGTAGAGGCACCCCCGGTTCAAAAATAGATTATCGCGCGGAGGATCGAGGGTTACAAAATTTGATTCGACCGTCGGAAAATCGATTCCCGTTTAGCGCTCGGAATCGCTTCGTTCGGGAATGCTGAGAGAGAATGAAAGAGAGAGAGAAAGAGAGAGAGAGAGAGAGAGAGAGAGAGAGGGAGAGAGATTCGAGCGTGTCTCCGTTCCCGGAGAAACGGCGGGCTTGGTTCTTATCAGAAATCGAATAGTATCACGGTGACATAATGCTCAGATCTTTCGTTCCGTTTCCTCCGTTCGTCGTCGCACGACCTACTCGAAGCAGGTTCTCGATGTTCATAGCAAAGCAACCGTCGTCGTCTGTATATATTTGTACCAAGATATTCGTACGCTCGATGACGAGGGAGCGATCCGCGTCGACGGAGAATGATCGTCGTCCATCTACGGAACTTTGTGCGCGAGATAAACGAAGAACATTTCGTTCTTCGATCACCGCTTTTTGGCGAGCGAGAATGGTGGAGCCGGTTACTGTGGTGTGGACCGAGAGCAATCGCTTTGGTTTGATTTCGGGCTTAACCCTTTACCGTACTTTGACTCGCGATCAAGATTTCCAGCAATAACTTGTTAATTAGGGATGTTATTCTGTTCTTTGAAATTGGAATAAAATTCTAGTCTTTTGTTGTTAATATTTAAGCACACAATACACATCGATTAATAAACATCAATTGTCTTTCCCTTTTAAGAAGTTATTGCAGTCGAAATATGTCTAGTCGCAATGACTGTTAATGAATTAATTATTTATTAAAGTTAACAAAGAAGGCGTACCAAATGTTTTTATCCGAAGATGAACAAAATAAAGGAATAATATAATTTAACGTCTTGTTCGTTAATGATACAATTAATTCTGTCGGAATTTGGTTTGTTTTCGTGGACAATTCATTTCGTATTTGTCGAATGACACGCGTCAATTCTTTTTATTACAAAATAAACGCTACAAAGGAAGAAAGGAATTATTAAATTATTGAATTATCGAATTATTGAATTATTTAATTATCGAATCATTGAATTATTTAATTATTTAATTATTGAATCATTGAATCATCGAATCACTGAACAATCGAATTATCTCCATATTCGCCCCACAGTAACCGGCTCCACTGTCCCAAGAGCGAAGCCGGTACGAAACTCGAATCTCGCGTTTTACGAGTATTACGAACGCACAAAGTTCCGCGGTTAAATAACAATGGCAGGAAATCGACGATACGAATTACAGGGAATTCATGGAACCATTGTCTCGGGGCAAGGGAACGACGCTATCTCTTCGGACGCCTGCAGACCGAGGATCGCCCGGTTCATGACGAATTTAGTATTAAGCGCGCCAACGAGTTCCGTTTTCGTGAATCTAGTCAGACTTGTAAATATAATCGGTGCGAGAAAAAAAAGAACGACGTCGCGCAGGTTGCTTCGGATCTTGGCCTGGAATCTCCCAAAACCTGCGGACGTGTTTCGATAGGGAATATAATTTGAACGTGTAGGAGAGTCGAGAAGAAGCGAGCAGGCATATGGGCGAACGAATCGGACGAAGATCGCGACACAGAGACTCGAGCCTCGGGCGAATAATAAATCGTGTTTCTAGATCGTGCGGGATCGTCCCAGTAATAAAGTGTTTGCTTTAAAATGCGAATTTACGTGTCTGTTCGGATCTGTGAGATCGGATGCTGGCAACGGTGCACTGCGGCGCGAATTGGCAACGTTGCGACGAAATCGAGGAACAGTAAATTTCTCCGTAATTGACGCTCCCAGATTTCTCCCTAATTCGCGATCGAATCAGTCCACGAAAATGGACGATTTGGGAAGAGGAGACGCGATTGTTCGAGCCTCGCGGCTCGTTTTTATAGTCACCGATTGTCAACGATTATAAATACAAGCCGCGAGGGCTCGAATAATCGTATTTTCGCTTCCCAAATTGTCCATTTTTGAACCGTGAAAGTTTATGCTAAACTCGAAGTATCACAAAACGAAATTTTGATTCATCCAATTCCATGTTCAATTGGATTATTTTTTGACCCCGCGTCATGCATCATTTCCCGTAGATTTTGGCGAGCCGATTTTTCAACTGTGTGCTCGTAACATTTATCCACCGCTTCGGGATTTCGAAAAAAAATCAGCGAGTTATGAAAATCCTTTGAACAAAAAAATCACGATTTCGTTAGTTTCTTCGCTCGAATCCAGAGGGGACCGATAAATCTTGCGATCGGATTTGAGATCAGCATAAAATGGATAAATTCTCAATTTGGTTGGAACACTTCCGGTCAAACGTAAGTTTTCGTGGTTAAAAAATATCGATACAGCGTTCTCCTTATTTTTCCAGTGTCCTACAAAGTTTCAGCCTTGCGTTAAAAAAAAAGTAACGTCGCTTTATCCTCCCATTTCCATCAAAAGTTCTTCGATTTTGGCAGACGAAACCTTCGCCATTCGAGCCCGCTGTGCGACGGTTCGCCCATATCCGATCCGCGTCCCGGTGAATCGCGCCGAATGGACCGGCGACTTTGTATATTCTGTAGATACGATAAACGTGAATGTGATATTTAACATATTTAGTAAGAGTCCGGCGTAGGCAGAGCCCGGGTGGCCGGAAAGTAAGGCGCGCGAACGGAGCCGGCGCGCGGCGGGGCGCCTCGATCGGCGTCCTCTTTTCCTTCGTTTCCAGTTCGCGATCTATGGTTTTGTAGATATACCGACACCGCAGAGAACCGGGGAAGAAACGTGAGATTCCAAGTGAAATTGTAAATATTCGAGTTTAAGTTGTGCGCCCGGGGGGAGAAGGGACGGGACCAAAGTTCTCCCGCCGTCGCGCAGTCGGCTATTCGCCCCGAAAAAGCGGAGAAAAATACATTCGATGCCCGAAGTCAACAAATTGTATCCAATATTATTGTTCTTATGATCCAATTATTGTTTCGCGAGATATCGAGCACATTCTGTCAAACATAATATGGGACAAATATGGGAGCACGTCTGTCCGCCATCGTTTAATTGAAAAAAAAAGAAACACGGACATAGCATCGGTTCGGTATGATGAACGAACAAATAAATGACCATAGTAAATCATACGTTCAACGCTAAAACGACCGAGCCCCATAATCGACTAATTTTGTTGAAGTTCCTTGTAAAAAAGTGTCAAGACTGTATTAATTTAAACAGCGCATGTTTTCTGGTATAATAAGTGTACAAATAAATAAGGATGTTCAATCATTTCCCCCGAAAAGAGTCTTCGCATAATTGCAATAATTTTAACACGAAACAATTGGAACCACCCCCTTTTGCTACCCCATCCAGGGTAGCTTTAATATTAAATAACAATCAACGAACGAGATTTTCCTTTGCGGTGGCAATCTGAAAAAAAAAATGAAGAAATGCCTTTCCTTCCATTTCATCGGGGCAAACAGCCCACCGCGCGTCGTATTATCGCGTGGATCATTGTTTCAGCTGAAAACACACTACGTCTTCGCGGCTCGACTCGTTTCGCGCGGCGCGGCGCGGCGCGACGGAATCTCGGGCGTGGTACTTTCGCGCCACCCGTTGCGTAGGTAACACCCTATTGATTTAAAAGAAAACCGGCGAACGCGCAAGAAATAGGAACGTAGATGTACACGTCTAAATATGTATGATCATCGGCCGAGGACTCGGGGAACAGCGGGGAACCGGCGCGAAGCGGTGCGGCGCGGCGCGGCGCGGCGTTTTAAAACTCCCCGGTAAAAAAAGGTACACGCGACAGTCGCTAATTTTTGATGGCGTGTCCTCGATCGCCATTGTATACAGCGTATACCGCTCAGTTTGCATACTCGAGTATCCCGACATCGCTGTACAGTAATTAGGTGAATCGCTAAGCGAATGATAGAGACAATCTGTATAAAGTATTGTATAAATTATACATACGTGTTATCTATCGCTTGTGTATTATATTCTCCAATTTAATAAATGGAACACATATTATGGTAATTATCAAGCCACACTGCCTACCATTTTTTATTCCGCGGAGACGATCCCCTGCGCTTCAACCCTTCGCGGTACAGGGTGTCCCAAGATTAGACGGTGCTTCCGAGGAACGAGGGGTAGTTTTCCGAGGATTTTTATTTCAACTTTCTACATCGACATATATTTCTATTTAATAGATATAAAATAATGATAATATAAAAATTGAGACTACAGCGTATATCCTAAGATTATAATGCTTCCGGGAAACGAGGGGTAGTTTTCCGAGGATTTTTATTTCAACTTCCTACATCGAGATATATTTCTATTTAATAGATATAAAATAATGATAATATAAAAATTGAGTCTACAGCGTGTCCCAAGATTATAATGCTTCCGGGAAACGAGGGGTAGTTTTCCGAGGATTTTTATTCCAATTTCTACACCGAGACATATTTCTATTTTCTATTGCTTCTCATATAAAAATATACAAACGCGTTCTCTTGTTAAATTTTCCTTTAAATATCGATTCAAAAATATTAAAGCTACTTTGAGTCTAGAGGGTGTCCCAATATCATGATGCTTCTGGAAAACGAAGGGTGGTTTCCGAGATCGTTTGAAGTAAGTTTTTCCTTGGCGCAAAATGCAACCCGCGGCTTCGTTTGCGAGTCATTAACGAGAAAAAACAGTGACCAAAGAGGGACCAATGATCGATCGGCCCGAGAAGCGGGTAAATCCTAACCTGTTCCTTTCGTTTGCACAATTTTCGACTCGGCGAATTCTCTGAGTCGCGACGCTTTTTTTTCGCGTAACGTTATTTTAATATTCTCCGGTGTCGATAGACATTTGTCGGCGCGGGTAGATGAATCGGGAACGAAAATTACCGAGATCCACCGCGGGTCTATTGATATATAACGACACGGGAGGGTGGTAATGATCGGTGCAGCGGTCATCAATCAAAGGGAAGACACTCGGAGCCACGTCGTTTTTTAGCTGGCACGATCGACTCTACTGCAACGACGACGCCGGTAACGCTGCCAGGTACCAATTACGACTTTTACTAGAGAGGTTATGTTTGAACGTTCGGTCAGAATGTTACTGCAACCGGTTTATTACACCGATTCGTTCAATTTTCATGAATTATTTATTTATCGACCGTTAGCAATCGAGTGCATCATCGTGTTGCTGCACAAGTAGTTACAAGAGCTACAACATCGACTGAAAATGGCAACGAATTCAACGCGAATTAATAACATTAATCAATTTATCGTTTCAATAATAAACACAGTCGTTGCGAATTGCAATCTCTATCGCATCTGGCCGCAAAAAATTAGGGTAGTCCGACGTGTAAAAGGGATCGAGCTTTTCAAACAGATGCAATAGGTTATTTAGAATATAGCAATAACGTAGTAATACAGTAATAATAATACAGCTAAGAGAAGAGCACAGAAATTATAATAAAACAGATGCTATATAAACTAAATAACTTTTCTCTGACGGCAGCACTCGGTCGACTGCTAAATAATAAATTAAATAATTAAACATCGAACTAAATAACTGAATAATACATTAAATAATTCAATAATATATTAAGTAATTAAATAACTGCATCAAAAAAAAAAACAGAAATATATGTAGTTTAACAATATCTTGGGGTGTTTTAAATAATTATCGACTGATCGAATGGCCAATATTATAATCGATATTAATTATAATACTATATTACAATATAAGTAATACAGTAATATTATATTATAATTAATATTAATATAATTATATATTATAATTTAATAATAAATAAATCGACCATAAAGAGTTATCAATAACTCTGCACCCGTGTATCAACTTTCCTCAATTTATTTTAAGAACGTCCCGAATGTCCTATCACAGACGTCTTCCAGAC